AAGTATACAAGAATTGTCTTGTACAAATAAGAAATTATATTTTGAAAGTAGTATTTGTTGTCAGTAGTTTATATTCGTTCTTGTAGTTGTTTTTTAATGGGGATGTCTTCACCAGTGTTCGTCGGTGTTTGATTTGAACGACTAAAACAATAGACTTTGCACTGAATGATGATGCTAAAGTATGCAATAAAAGTGTTGCATTAAATTTCTATGAGCTTCTCGTATTTATCAGATGAAAATGATAATCTATTTTGCTATTTCAGATGGTTGTGGGATGTGAAGATGAAGGTCTTGTATAAGTTGGCCTGTCACGATCCAGAATTTCACCAGCTCTATATGAATACGCTCGTAGCGTGGGGAAAGTGCTTCTGTGCTGATTATAGCACTGTACCATTCCACTGGAAGTGAGTTAACATAATATAGATTACTGATATGGAAGAAGTAGCTGTGCAGTATGTTTTTGTTCGAGGAAAGGCAGGCTAAAACTATGTCATAACCACCATGAGATAAAAATATACTGCATGAGTACAGCTTCTAACTATATTTCCTGTTAAAATACCACAGCTGTCAATTTCTCGGTTCAATTTCAGAATCGAGCATCTATTTGCATTAAATTTTACGATTTTTCCTTTCTGATGAGGTCAGCTAGAGTGTAAGGCTCGAAAACAGTTTTAACATGGCCTGATCTCTTTAAAAGCCAAGTGTAATGCATTTACAGTTTGCCATGAAGTGTAATTTCTGTGGTTGCAATTAATTAAGGCTACGTAAATGAAGGTATTATCTGTGAGTCATCTGCTGTAATCAGAGGAATATGAGAACACATTGAACATGTATGTTGCAATCATTATTTTCAGGCTTGACTGTGCTGATGCTCAGTTTTGGCTTGAACACTGTAGCTTCAAAGACCTGTGCTGTCACTTCAAGCTGTTGTTGGGTGATGTAGGCTCACATGTGTGCACAGATGCTCAAAGGAGCCTTGACCAGCTCAGCAGGGGCAACAACTTTGCCGTGTGGGAAGATATAAAGACTGAGGTCCAACAATACAGTGGAAGCTGATGTTAAGGTGAGATAAAAAAGTCGAAACATGTTATTGGTATTCACTATTTTAATACTCAGTGTGGTATTTGGTAGTCTACAGCTTTTTTTTACGTTATTCAATTCAGGTATGAGTTATAACTTATAACTTATAACTATAAATATATGGACGAGGCATTATATCAATAATTTTTCAAAATATTTACCCTAATAAAATTCATGTGCATGCAGTCACATGTGAAACTAGAGAAATGCGTTAAGACACATTAGATCGATTATAGTCACTTTTTCTAGTCACGATTATGATCCGGTTCAGGTTCACTGTAATCATGGTCCCTAAACGTCATCACATTTTTACGTATATCAGCAAAGATAGAATGAAAAAATCGGTACTTTGGCTCCAAAATATTTGCAATGGCTGCAAAGGTAGCAATCTCATCGCAGTATGAAGTCGGAGACCAGCGGGGAGGGAATAGATAAATGTGGGCGTGGCGGGGTTTCTGTCCGCTAGCTAACCGATCGAGGTAGTCCGCTTCTGTGTCCTGGTTCATCTCCTGCTCGCTAGGGAGCGCCAGTGACCCATCAAGGATCATAAGCGCAATCGGAACCTGGAGGTACGCGATTGAGAATGAAATGGGTGTATATACCATGGCGATGAACATGAGCGTGTGGTACCTGCTGTGGATCATGTGCTTAAATAACGGTTGTATGCGTTTACCCTCGCTAACAGTGACATCGTTACACGAGCGTCGAGGAATGGAACGAATACTCGTAGCCGTGCAGAAAATAATCACGTCTGTTCGAGGTCTCACCGTCGGTGAACGTCACCACGCTACCGTTGATCGCCTGCGGGAATCCCGTTGTCTCACTTGTGTGTACAGCCCTTTCTTGTACTGTCTCCTCAGTCCCAGTCTGTCTAGTTTGGTGATGGAGATGAACACCTCGGAAGTATGAGAGTATAGATCATTCATGATGTCAAATGCAGATGAAATGATCCAATATGAGACTTGCTTGCTGTTTAGAGAAATAGATTGTATCGAAATATTCTAATAGTATATAGTATACACAGTACTCACGTGTTAAAACCCATGAAGTGCCTTGCATTGGGTAAACTTATAATCCGTGAAGAAAATACTCTACTACACTAACCCAAGGCAGCGCACCTGTATAGAGTTCTGGATGCGATAATCATGGCTGTGCAGCTGTACCCGCTGAAGCTCTCCTGACCAGGAATGTCTGTAGTGAGGACACTATAAGTGTCCAAAGCATACAGCACAGCATCAAACACCT